TGTGATTGTCTCCGTTTTGGAGTTTAATTAAAGCCTGTAATCCATCACTCCAACATTAGCATCGTGCACGATCAGGTTTATTTATGGAAGAAATGTGGGTGCACAATGTTCCTAATAGAAATTATGAATAATGAATGCATTGTCCATGAAAATGTCATAAAGTACAAAGTACTCGACCGGCAAGTCGTGTTCAACCATGACAAAGACAAAAAATGCACTTTGATTTCTATTATTCAATTCTTTTCTAGAAATACTAAACAAAACGGGGGCGTCCATTAATTACGTCAACAAAATAGGGGAGAGGGTGGGAAAGTTTGACAGTTGTTGACAAATGGGGGAGGGGGAATTTAGATTAGTTTACGTCAACAATCATGATTTTTCTATTAGAATTTTAATCTTAAAAATTGACTTGTTCTTACATTATTTTCAACAATTTAATGAGTGTAAATAGTTATATATGTTTAGGCTATTTAACAATACAATAATACAATAGTTATTTAATGTGTGTCTGTCTGTGCACTGCAGTTGGTTGGTCAGAATGTTAGCACACCTTGTTCGTGCAAAAGAATTCAAAAGTTGGCATCTCTTAACCTGTCATTTTTCTCTTAATCCGCTCCCTAGAATGATTAACACATCATTGTAAACGGTGTTCAATTTAAAAAAACAAAAAAAAAAAAAAACCCAACTCATCGTTGTTCAATTACAACAATACCAACTCAAGGACAGAGAGAGAGCTTATGGCCATTATTGTTCACACCGACAATACTTCTATTTTAAGTGCTGAATGGTTAGATAAGGATGATGTTGGCTTGTCTGGTGTATTAGTTCCACAAGGTGATAATGATAAATCAACTACTACATACTATGCCCACCAGGGGCGTTGTTTTTGTTGTTTTTTTAGGGGAAGGGAGGGGGAGAACCAAACCCTGGTCGGTTTGTTAAGTTGTTTATTACTGGAGGCGCCACAGTGCATAGCAATTTAAATATAACCAGCAAAATCAAAGGGTGTGGGGAATGCCCCCCCTGGCCTACACGAATGATGTCCCTGATGCCCATAGTTACGATATGGGAAGATAATAGCAGCTAGAAACTGTACTACAATTGTCAGCTATACTGAAAATAATCAATTTATGTTTCCACAAACAATGATATTTAGTCCTTAACAACCTTTTAATTGATTCTGCATTTTAAAATTTAAGTGCACAAACTTTTTAACTTGTTGATTAACAAGCTAAACATGTATTAAAATGATTTCCCTACTATTGTATGTGTCATTTAAATAGATATGCACAAAGTAAAATGTATTTATTAATTTATTTATATTATAAATTATAATAATAATTTTTTTTGGGGGGGGAGGGGGGGATGGTCCAAATGTTGACATAATTAAATAGGGGAGTCATCAAAAGTTTGACAATTGTTGACAGGGTGGGGTGTTAAAAATGCGTAAAAATTGTTAACGTAATTAATGGACGACCCCAAAGGCAATATGCATAATGGATGCTCGGTGGTAGTTGGTAGCACTCTATGGTTGAGCCACAATGCCATTATAACGTGTCATTATGTTTTATCCAAACCACTATGTGGGAACGTGTGGGTTGGACTGGGGTGTAAAAGTTGTACTCTCTAAAGTTTTTATTTAATGAATTTTAATTTTGGAGGTTGGAGCCCTAAGAATTTTTACGAGCTTCAGCTCCGGGGGATAAAATGAAGAGCGCGCCCCAGAAGAGATAGAGGGGCTTAATAAATGTGCTTAAACCAGCAGTGCTTACGCTTAATAAATGTGCTTAAGCCAGCAGTGCTTATTTTCTGCCAAGGAACTCCCCCTCCCCCCCCACACACACGCGTATGCAAAATCTCCAAACTGGACAACCCCTCCCCCCCCTTCCCTCAGTACTACGTACTAAATGGATGTCCCCAAAGTAATAGAAACACGTTGCTGGTCCCAGTAGAGAGCTTTAGGGCGATTGCCATTAAATCTGACCAACACACTAGGCAGTGGGCTGCTTGGTTCTACACTCATGATGTATTGTAGCGGTCACTTCTGGTCACTGAACGCTAAGCTTCATGTGAGGAAAAGGCGGGTACGTTGGAATGGATTGCGACCACTTGCATAAGTGTCATGACCTTGGGCACTACTGGACAACCAATGTGTAGGCCTATTGAATTGCTAGCTAGGTTAATAGTGGCTTTGGGGACTGCCAGCGTGAGTTGAGGACCGCCATCTTGGGTTGAGGGCCGTCAGTTGGGGTGGGGGATGTTAGCTTGTAGTGGGGGCTGCCATCTTGGGGTGAGGACTTCCAGCTTGTGGTGGGCTGCCATCTTGAGGTGAGGACTTCCAGCTTGAGGTGAGGGCTGCGAGCTTGGCGTGGGGACTGTCAGATTAGACTGCCCACACAAGTCCCAGTGAAAATGGGGGCAGAATGTATAACATGTGAATACAACAAAGGCCTTTAAGTTTAAGTAGCTTTTCTTTAATTCTAAAACTTGACAGCTCCTATAGTACATTATTCTTCAAATACCGAATGTATGTCAGGAATGAACAAGAATCGCCATAAAAATGATCATATACATAAACAATGACATTCCCTGGAGGAAAAAACATAAAAAAGAAATAAAGTTATTTTTCCCTCCACACACCAGATAAAAGATGCTTTAATTACCGTAAGCCTTACTAGGTGTTCAATTTTTTTGTTTAATTCACCTAATTCAAAAGTGTAACCTCTCTGTCTCTCTGAAATGTGATTGAGGAAAATTAATTATTATTTTCATTAATATTAAAGTTACTGAAGTAACGGTGTAATATTTTTTTATATTTAACCAGCCATATCATAAACGCAACATATGAACAAAATTAGATTGTCTCCCTGGAATATCATCATTTATCATTATTGTATAGTATTTTCAAACTTGGTTTGTGACAGAATATTTCAACTTGTTTACAATGTAAGATACAATTTATGCGTCCAAAATGGGGAAACATCTTTAAAATAATTTAATATAGAGCTGTGATGAATAACAGGGTTTGAAAACTCACTGTTTGCAATGATAGTCTACATAATAATAATGCTATACAGATTTTTATTATGCTACATTTGAGACTGTCTATAGGTTTTGATAATGATAAAATAGTTATGACTAAGTGCATTTTTTAAATATAAATAAAGGATACAATACTTTGGAATAAAAATATTCACTTAAATAATTAATTTTGTAACAAATGTAAAAACCACTGAAATTTGTGACTGTCGATAATGAAAAAAAAAAAAAGAGCTCTTTTTCAACAGCCTTGTTATTTGTAATTTAAAAAATAAAAGTGAAAATTATACATTTATTTCTGTTTTCAATAAACCATGATTTAATTTATTTCAATGCACCTAAATAATGTCCCTAGTGCAGAGATTAACAGTATCCAAAAAGAAAAACATTGAGGAGTAATATTTTGCACAGCTAAACATACATTCTGGTGTCTTGTAAAGTTGAAGAGCCACAGCTCAGAAATGTTCAGAAAGTACAAGAATAGATTTTCAAAACTTAGAATGGTTTAACAAGAACTTTTTTTTCTTACGAGACTGCTTATATAACTGCAAAACTCAGTCACCATGTCATTCCGTGCCCTAAAAAACAAATTTACCCTGAAATAAATAGCATGAATAAAAATACATCCATGGCTGAAATAGATATGCAATTATTAGGAAAATTTTAAGAACTGATATTAGGCTACATAAAGATATATATGTATAATCATTACATTTTAAATACTAGACAAAGTAGATGCCTTCTTTAAATTTATGGAATGTACACAAAGTTTGATTGGTCCTTTCTCAAAGCCTAACTACAAAGAATCCAAGAACCAATTGTAATTGTTTTAAAATGATGCACATGAAACTGAGTTTTTTTTTGCAATTTAGAAACAGAACATATGAGAATATTTAGTATACTATGAGCCTGAAGATTTCAGAATGCCATTTTGGTTTAATCAGAAAAAGAGGTTAATTGCTTTTACTCAGAGTCAGAGAAGCTTAAATTCTAAAATGTTTACTTGTAATTAAAACTCATCATCTAAATTAATCATTTTAATTTTTTTTTCTTGTATTTTTAAAAAATTGTGATAAAAAATTATTTGCAATGTATTTTTATTAATTCAAAAAAAATAAATTTATTAAAATAGTTGATTTTAAATGTTCAATAAATATTTTCCGTTAGATAGTTCTTATCAGCTTTAACAAAAAATCATGAAAATGTTATTTTAAAATGAACAACCTTTACTCATGCTAATTTTTTTTTTTTTTATGCAATCTCAAGCAATAATAAAGATCTGTTTAGAAACCATACAAGTTATGAATTTGTATTTCCAAGCTGACTATATTTTATCAAAAGAAAAATTAAAACTATTATAACCATATATTTAAAAGTCATACATTATAGTGACAAAGCTTTGATCCTTTAGAAGCGACCAAAAAAAGAGACATTTTTAATTTTTGCTTATAATCTCAAGAGTAATTATTTATAAAACTTGGTTGTATACAGTATGATATGACAGATAATTTATAAGGCACTATTTAAGAACAAAAGATTAGAATAAAACCTTACTACACTAAAATATCAGAAAGTTGTGAGGTATAAAATAGTTATAACTGTAAGTTACAGTAACACAATTTGTTGTATTCTATTTACATCTGTTATGTATATGTCATAGATAATAAGTGGTCATAGTCTGTGGAATGTGCATGCTAATAACAAAGTATCTTTTAACAAACATTTCACCAATAGTTCAATTTAAAACAAAAAACTGCAAGAGACAAAATGAAACAGAAATGTTAGAAATACAAGACAAGAGAGAAATTTTGATTATTTATTATTTGGAGTCTTTAAAAAAAAAAAAAGAATTTAAGTAATTCAGATCTTTAAAAAAAAAAAAAAATAAATAAA